CCCCCAGCCTTTTCCATGGCAGCCCACCACAAATGTCGGTTGGTAACGGGTTGGACTATGGAGCGGATGGCCGTGGTTCGAGCTACTCATTCTGAACTAGGGTTGGTATATAAATGCCGAAGATTAGAGATGTTGCAAGAGAGTAACAAACAAAAAAAAAGAGGAGAGATGAGGACGATATAGACACTAGGTAGGAAACGTGTTGCAAACCACACCAGAGCACCCACCAATCACCCACAAAATACTAGGCTTGAATATGAGCAGCCCGTGATGTTGACAAATAAGGTGACTCAGCGGGTAGAATTTCTCAAAGTCCTCTCTTCAATATTAGCAAATAACACAATGTAAATACAAATTAGTAGAGTACAAACCCTTTGTAAAACACCCAAAGTGCAGCTAGGTTGTAATTTTAATCGATCTCTCAGGCACCCCTGAGCTAGTCTTCTTCGTGCACCACTGGAAAATTCCTTGCCAGAATCAGATGTCATTGAACCAGACATAACAAGGTCAGCCGTTCTTCTCTCTTTTAGTACAGCTTTTGACCCTTTCAGACCAGTGATCCGTGCTTGGGCGGGGGTTGTTTAACCTACGACAGTTCCCCAAATGCCGGCTGTTTCATGACCTCGTGTTTACACCGCCCAACGTGTCGGATCAATGTGGGCGTCCGGACGAAAGTTTTTGTTTTGCTGCGTACAAAAAAAAACAAACCCCACCATGAAAATGTCTGCCATAAATATGAATGTCAGAACAAAGGTTCTTGTTTTGCTGTAGTGCATGTTTGCGAATGAAACAAGATTTAAAAAAACAATCTTTCTCTTTAATTTTCCCGAGTTTTTTTGCATGCGGGTCTAATCTCTAATCCGAGTTCCGACATGTTTTATTTAATGTAATGCAAAAACAGGTTTGTTTAGAAAAATCTTAAACAACAAAATGTTGACCTATTTTTATCAACACCACTTTGACGCATCGGTATGAAACACGGTCAAATATAATATTTCGAGAGGAACGTGGAGATAATTATCTTGACGGACTTGGGACGAGATCTATAAGCTTACTTTGAAATGTTTGGGCAGGGTGGTGCTGCTGTCTCAGATGAGCAATTTATAGGCTAGGTTACTGTAAATCATTTAAAGTAGTGATCCCGTGCATGCATTCACAGGGAGGTGTCAAATAGAGGGCCTTAATATATTTCTTATATTACTGCCTCAATAATTTAGGAGAAAAAAGTACATGTATAATTGTGTATGGCCGCTGCCAGCAGAAAAGCCATGCAAAGTTTCATGAGTAATGGTAAACTAATAAAGTTGCTAGATATGTGTTAAACATGGATAGACGAGAGCTAATAAGCTATGGATTCGTTTTTCTCCTTATTCAATGACAACTGGGATACACTTTTCTTGTGTACCCAACTCTCACCGAGTGATTCATTCCGATTTACCGAAATACAGCTTGGGAGACACCCCCCCCCCCACTCCCTCCCCCTCACTCAATTTCCTTTAATCCCCCATGTATCAACTTTCATGATATCAAAAGCAAGGCAAATGAACAGGTTTTAAATAATAATAACTCCATATGCCAGAAACTTGACGAGCGCCTGATTCCATCGCACCACGACACAAATGGTGTGGAGATGTTAAAACGAATCAGATAATACAAACAATCCCTTGCTTTAAATAGCTCGCCTCTTACCCCAGTTTCTGCATCAGCTGACTGTCTAGCGCTAGGTCAGCGTGGTGTTATCTCGTTCATTGAGTACAGGCGTCCTGGCCTCGGTGCACTTTAGGCCGTCGTTCGACAG